TGTAGGGAGGCTTGGGAGTGGTTGATGTGACAGGAGGAGAAGGAGGCAAAAAGACAAAGGGAGGAATGTATTATGACACCAGCAATCGAGGCCCGATACCGTTTAAGTGCATATAATTGCATACCAGGGCCCGGGGCGGAGTGACATGGGGATGGGCGAGAACACAGTGAGGAGATCTGAGGATTTCCGAGTCCCATACCTGCCCTGCCCCAGACAATCCAGGCCAGGCCAAGATTTCGGAAAGCGCGATAGGGTGATTGAGGTAACAAGTTTGCTGTGGTGAAGTGGAAAGTGAAGCACTGGTGAGAATCGAGATACGAACCTGTGATATTTGGTCAAGGGTGATGACAGCGAGCGACGTCGAATCGTCCAAGTGCGTCGAGCAATACACGAGATGGAAGAAGTTGTCAAGTTGAAGTCAATCAGTCTAGTGGGCCAAACCAGGGCAAAGCTTACTCAAGTTTGATTCCTGGGGAATTAACGAGTGTCGTATGATAAGATACAGTGTGTCCAAGATTCAAACCGGAAGGAACGAAAAAGAGGACAACAGACGGGACCGTCAGGAAGGAGGGAAGGGCCGCCCAGTTGAAGGAATTCCCAAGAGGATTCCATCCAATCCCACGTCGCCGGGACTGCGGCCATCAGACACTACAGTCGGATCGAATCGAGCATGTCGCCGTGATGGATGAACCGCAAAAAAAGAGACGAGTCCGACGACGAGTCCCAGAGAAAAGAGCCCTTGCTCTTGCCCTGCCAAATCCCTGCAAAGTGCCGAGAGTGCCTGGCCCGTCCCCACTAGACCCACCCACGCCCACTGTCTCCACGGCCGCGTTGAGGCGCGAGTGGAGTCACAGCGACATGGATGAACGACCCTGCAGTGCATTTGGAGCAGCCAGAACAGCCAAAAAGCGACAGGCACGACCGCAATTCATTTCCCCCTCGCTTCAAGTTGTGTGTTGAGATCGATTCCCAGTTGGGGTGACTTGGGGAAAGGCCCATGAAGGTCCCCACGCTAATAACACCACTTGGAGCAAGTTCGAGGGACACGAATCGCTTGATGTCCTCGCCTGGTCACTGGCGAGAGAGCGGACGGGACCGCGAAAGCGAAACGGGGGCGCGGGCACCATTCGGAAACCGCAAGAATGGGAAACCCAAGCATTCCATAGCGTGATTTGATGACACCACAGCAATGGAAGCGAGGGAAAATGACGTTATTCGTGTTCACTGCTGGGTCAACCAAGGCTGTTGTAAGTAGACTTGCTAACGTTCCATATCCACGTCCAAAATGACATCTTCTGTAACGATCGTGTAGTTTCCAATTCATTAATCGTCCAAAGACGGCAGACGGTAACAGATATCGGAACCGAATCGGAAAAGCTGCAGTGAGCATCTAGAGGTGCACAAGTGCGAGTCGATCACTGCAGGAACAGGAACAGGAACAGCAAGTGATGGGCACAAATCTCCACAGTACACAAACAGGCGCGAAGCACGGGCCATGCACGCCAAGACAGCTTCCACTTGTCGACTTCCCCTGTTTCCTTTTTGCCATTCGTTCTTCTTTTCCGCATCTTCAATCATCACCTAATCACTGGCTCCACGAAAGCTCAACGGTAGTAAAATACCTTGTACCCGATCTTCAAAACAATATCCGAGGTGAATCAGGGTCAATTGATCCTCTGCAAAACACGTGACGGAGGCGCCATGTTGGGTACCCTACCTGAGCCTAATCACCTCCTTTCCCCTTGCAATTGGCCCAGTGCCCAAACCAAGGCTCGTCATCACATCCATCTTGTCACACTGTTCCACTTGCACGTCCAAGATGACTTTCATTACACGCAGGACCACCAGCAAACTCGTCAGAGCCGTTGCAACTGTGCCGTATGCACTGGAATGGGGCGAGGCCGAGTCCCCCCTCGTCTTCTAATCTTCAGTCTGTCTTCTTCAACTACCAACAGAATGACCGGATGTCCTCCCCGCCGGACGTTGTCAACGATTCTATCTATTTGAAGCTATCGGGGAACCGGATACTTCCTAGGACTGCCCGCTTGGGTACGCATTCCGGACCAGGGCAGGCGTCGAGAGGCATCAACCCATCACCGATATCCAAATCCTTCGGTCGATCGCATGCAAGACGAGCACGACAAGGCGCACACAGCCATGGGTCGAGACCCCGAGAAGCAAAATGTTGATCCTTTTTTTCTCACCAATTTTCTCAGAAGGCGTCTCATGATGAGACGAAGGCAGCACAAAAAATCGGAGCATTTCGTGGCTCAGAGGTCAACTGCTATGCAAGTATCGCAGAGCCAAGGCGAATCTCACCCTCATGGAAATTCGCTGCCTGAATCGAGGGACGGATAGCGGATCGTTCCTCTCGTATCTTCCTATCCTCCGGCTTGGTCGCGCGAATCGTTGGTTGGTAGGTTGTGGGGTGTCCTCTGGTTCTTCAGGTCGCCCCGGGTCCGGTTCCCTTCCCCGAATCCTTTTCTTTGCTTCTTGGGCCCCAGTATCGGAACTGTTGGCTGTTGGCGCAATATCGTCCAAATTATTACTAAGAATCGAGCCAACAACTTATTCTTTAGGCGCCTTTGCCGCCCGCTAACACAGTTCTCGAGCATTGCCTCCAACAACCTGGCGCATCTCCCGTCGCCGTCGTCGGATCACAGCACAATCAAAGCCACGGAGCCACGGTCTCGGGTATACTACATCATAAGGTGAAGTATGAGGCTTTAAGTGAGCGACTACAACACTGAACGCACACTGGCAAATCACACGCCGTCACGAAAAAGCTTACCTTGGTATGCGATAAACAGGTGGGTTGCATCCTGATCACTCCATCACAATGCGATCACAATGCGGAGACGGGTAACTGCGTTGAGCACATCGGAGTGCTTCCTTCTTCAGCGACATCGGTCCTTTTCAGGCGCATCCAAATGGAAAAAAAAGTGTCTTTACATCTGGCAGTCGCATGGTTGCAGAAAGAGCCTCTGCACATCTTGACGATCTTTGAGCGAACAGCAGAACCTCGTGGTTAAATCAAATTGGGAACGGCGATACCGAGGCTTATCACTACGCTACTCTGATATAGCGATAGCAATCTCGTGGAGTGTCCGTGGAGCCTCCGTGGAGTCGCATTTCTTGTGCCGATGTCGCATTCATTGCTTCGGTACCCGGAAACTGACATTTATAAAGGACTAATAATATCAGCAGCTGCTGTAAACTGACTTTGCATTCAGCTTTCCCTCGGTATTTTCAGAAACGAAGCTTTACAACAAGGGGCCGTTTTCCTCGCGCCCGTTTCAAATCTTCAAGCGAACGATAACAAGGCCGAAAGACAAGGGCCAATCTCTCGGGATGATCCCTTTGCAAAGATGCCGAAAGTGCGTGCACATCCCCCAAGGAAGAACCGGGGCAGCCAGGCGATCATATGAATTGCACTCGAGGCGAGCGGTCAGCTAGCATCAGCTACTAGCCGAGCCAGGCGAGTGCCAGGGCTCTTCAGCTCCCCCATCCCCCACTGAGCTGATGATCCTTCCCGTTTTTGCATTGCATTTATTGGTGAGTGCTCATCGTACCTTGCAGAATCGGCAGCTTACGGAGGTGTTATAAAGCGTGGAAATGGTAGAGTTGGTGGTGCAAAGTTGTGCAAGTCCTTGCGTTGCTACACCCATCCGGATATTCTGTGGTGTTGTGTTGCAAGTGCTACACTCCAACATATCGCCAAAGTTGCACAAACCCATCGTTTGCCGTCTTCACCTTCTAGAAACAGAAAATATCACATGTCTTAAGACACACTTCCACTTACAACCTCGTGTTTTATCGTGGCAGCGTCACAACTACCGATATACCCATTCATCCAAACCCAATCCAGACCGAGCCAACCATGGTCCATCATAGCGCATTGAGCTAATGAATCTGCCCGAGATTCAACGCAATCTTATCGCCCACTGCTGCTCCCAATGGATGCGACGATCACTACCCTTGGTAGCATAGTTAGGCGAGCTCTAATTGCTCAGTTGCTCAGTGACCCCAGCCAACTAGATGACAAACCCAGTTGATGTCGCGGAGATGGTCGGCCAGGTACTGCAAGAGTGCAAGGCACTTTGCCAGGGAACTGGACCATTGAGAGCAAAGAACTTATACACTTGCTGGATGGGGCTTGTGGGGAGAGAAATGAACCTCAAAGAATCTGGAGAATCCATGGGGGCTTGGCATGCAAGTAACGGGGCACAGGAGAGAGGCAGAGAGAGAGAGAAAGAAGTGGAAAAAGTGACAAGGAAAAACTTTGCTATCACAGTTGCAGTTCTGACGGTGACAACCTCAGTGGAGGAAAGTCGATCGAAGATCCTCACGGACGCTGAGAATCTCACTGGCTCAATGGACCATTTTGGCCTGTATTCCGCCCTGAAGCGCCCCGAACGGACACTAACGGTGACAGATCTCATCCTTCACGGGTGTCTGTTGGCTGTTAAAACTTTCACCACGCGGCGAGAATCCTACCTCGTGTTCCCAGTGGAGCTAGTGCGGTGATGACCTGCGCGACTTTCCAGTCATGTGAGTTGAAGCTATCGCCAAGTTCAGGCCGCACACTTTCCTCATTGGCAGTGTGTTCAGAAGTTCATTGGCGAGCTCGGATAAAACGTGGTGTTTCTTATCGTTTTTTCTCACATTATTCCCGGGGGAAAGACTGTAGTATAATGCAATTGGACATCGACAGTGAGACACCAAGAGAGTCTAGACTAGCGGGATTTTGGCTGAAGATTATAAACATCAACGGGATTTGATCACAACAGATTGCGCTAAAGATCACAGCCATATAAGGCATTGGTCAATGGTCTACTTATATTCGACCTTTACTAATCACAAAGGATCACTAGCCCCGGGGCAAACGGTGATGGCTCACTCCACCTCATCAATCCTTCCAACCCTCCTAACCCTCACAGCCGCTTTATCGCCACATAATCTCCTTAACCACTCCAATAACCGCCCAAAGACACCATCGTCTACATCTTCCCATAGAGGAAACCAAGCAAATCAACCTCATCCCCACTCTCCCCCAAGAACCCCACAACCTACCACCCCTCCTCCGCCTCAAACACCTTGCACTCGCTCGTCCTCGTACCCGCCTCCAGCGTCCTACCCTTGGACGTAGTAGCCTTAATATAAAAGTTACATATCTTATCACTCTTCTCACCCTGGCACAGCTCAAACTTGATCCAGAACTCCCCTTCAGCGAGAGTCAGCGACACCTCCGACCCTCCACGGCCTCCGTGGACTAACTCTGTAGAACTAGTTCCCTGGCCATTGCCGTATCCAATAGTAAGCGAATCGCTATCAAGCCGGCTTCCACCGCGGAAAGTAATCTTCCTGGCTTTGATAGGCTCGGGCGTAGTAGAATCGAGCATAGAAACATCATTAAACCAACTCCCATACGTCGCGCCCCCCCAAAACCCCGACTGCCGGAACCGGTCCCCGGCGGACCAAGTCAGGTTCACCAGAACGGGGTTATGATCCGACAATACACTGACCCCGTCGTCAGCCAAAAACTTGGCACCAGCGTACTCAAACCCCGTCGGCGTGAGCTCAACCAACGGACTGCTCCGGTAAAGAACCTTATCCACGATCTCGCAGGTCGCGTTCTCAGCTGGGTTTCCACACGCGCCTGCGTCGCTGGGCAAAACTCCGTCGCGGTGGAGGAAGATCCAAGTATCTGTCAACCCTACCCCCGTCCCCGTGCCGGTAGGGTTTTCGGATGCCAGTAAGGAACGGATACCAGTATCTCCCGACCGTGAATACCGGCTATTCGTATCCCCATACACCAAAACCGCGTTCCCTTGACTATGAGTCTGAATCCACTCGCGGACCTGGCGGAGGTTATCGTTCCTCGCTTCTAAATCCCCGCTTTCCGTGCCGGCGTCTGTGTGCATATTATAGAAATCTACGTAGACCTCTGAGTTTCCTTTTTCATTAGAGGTATCAGTTCCTGATAAAGCGACACGCATAAAGGTGAATCCCTTGGGAGTGAGACAGTCGAATTCGGAGGCGCAGGAGGACTTGTCCCATTTTTGACGCTGGAAGGATCCTGAAAGCCAGGGGAGAGTGGAGAGGGTGTTGAGGCCGGAGCCGAAGGGGACGCCGCCTGAGGTGGGGGTGCGGAAGGGGTGGGTGTCTGTGGAGTAGAGCTGGGCGTGGTAGTTGAAGTCCTAGGGGGGAAGGGGTTAGCGAGTTTTGGGGGAAGGGGAGGGAGTGGGAATGGATGGATTGGAGCCGGTGATGTGGTTTGGTCTCAAGTGGAACTGCAGGTGCGAAGCGGGAAAGACGTCGCCGTCGTGCATCAAGTGGTGCGTGAGACGGGATGATGCAAGCGCGCATTCCCGCACCTCAAACGTGCCTTCCGATATACCCGCCGGCCGACGTGCCCGCCCGCTTGCTTCCTGCCACTTCCATGACCCAATTTCCCAACTTCATCCAACCAACCCTTCTCCCGAATCATCACTGATGAGACACAAAACTCACCTCCTGCACATGAATAACATCATACCCATACTGCGCAAACTTGCTTCCGATCTTTTTTGCGCTGGCCTCCTTGCCTCCCGGAACGCCGTTGGGGTTGAGGATCGCAGGCAGGCCGGCTACGTTCATCGAAAGAATTGTCAAGTCGCCGGAGGTGGCGGCGGCGACCACCTGTGCAACCAGAGCGCCGCTAGTGAGGGCGTTGGACAGCTTCATTTTGAGGATACCGGATTGTCGTCGGCGAGGTCTAGGAAGACGTGGCGTGCGGAAGCTTTGGAGGTGAACAGACCGCGAGGGAACTTTTGTCCAACACACTCAGCAGGTTGACGTCTTCCAATCCTCCTGGACTCCATTGCTCTGGTGTCGTGGGCGATGGGGGAAGATAGACAGAAAGGGAGACAACATTCCAAAGATCGTCATAGCGGTCGGGCATACTTCAACCCTATATCACCATCCATATACCTTCCCTTTCAGGATTCCAAGCCCTTCACGTGTGATTCCCACCGGGAATTCTGTTCCCTTCGCTTCGTGTCCCACCTTTCCCCCCTCCCGGATCCAGTCTTAACCGTGCCGAATGACGTCCGTCCATCGTCCACTTGCCGAGTAGGTAAACGAGCACTTCGCAGACCGAACGAACGATTGTTTTGACCAAAAGAGACCGTCAAATCATGTATCCCACTTGCATCGTCATAACCGCTTCCCGATATCTGCAAATCGAAGTCCCCGCCCCCCTCTTCTCGGAAGCGTGTTCCTGATTTCGGTGACATCGTCAAGTGCCAAGACCCGCGGAAGCCAGTAAAGCATGGTTTTCACTAACGTAACGGCTTTCTTTTTGGGATTGGGTGAACAGCAGATCGCGGAAGTCGGAATCAGATTCCAATTCTGCGTAGGAGAGTATGTGTTGGGGAGAATCGTAAAGTGGGAAGTCAGGAATTGAGATGTCGAACTCGGCAAGAGGTTGCTAATGCTGGTGTGGGAAACGCCAATCTCCGAGTTCCATCAAGTTTGGCGACAAAATAACGGTTCAATGAACTGTACTATCGCCGGACGAACACAGCGAGGTTGACGGGTAATGAGCGGATGGGGTGATATCACCGTAGAGGTGATGGGAGGGAGTGTTGCAGTCGGTGATATCGCGGGGAAGGAGGAGGCCAGGAGGGGGGGTGCAGCCCAAGCGCACATTTACAGTGAGGTGGGGAAACTTCCCCAGGGGCTTCCGGGGCACAGATGCTACAAGGTATCCGGCGAGTACCTTTTCTCGGCTCCGCGATACCCTTTGGCTTTGGGAGGGCCTACCTGCAATGGAGAAGAGCTTGCATCAATGTTTTGCAATGCACTTATTCTCTTCTCGAAGGAAACGTGGGATTTGATGAGGGTAGGAAGTCAGGTAGGGAGGAGTGTCTTGAAGAGGTTGCACACCGGCGGAGTTTCAGGCGTGCATGCGCTGGCCGCTGGCGCTGGTGAGGGATGCAGGTGGAGAGAGTACCGCAAGGAAGACGATAGACAAGTACATGGCTTTTGTTCAACGCACGACTAGAATCCACGTTCAGATTGTAAAACCATGAAAAGCTATTCAAGTTTCTCAATCGGACGTGGGATATGGATATTTAGGTGAATATGAGTGCAGCTTGTGAATGCACGCAATCATGAGCGAGTGTCCTGCGATGTGTACTTCCTGACTCCCGGGACATTTCTGGCGGCCCTTTCGACTGTGACCGCGAGAAAGCAATTCGAACGCCAAATTCACTCGGTCTGCCTGTGCGAAAACAGATGCAAAAACCGAAGAGTATGAAAGTTGTTCCTTTTACTGTGCTATGCCCTTTTTATTACACAAGATCTATAAGTTGTCCATTTTGTCCATTCCCCCGGTTTCTGGTTGCTGGTTCGGAATCATGAAAGTTGACATCAACATTACAGGTATGTAAGTCTAACTCGCACACCTAATTATTCGGTCTCGGAGTCGAATTCGTGCGTGCCTGATGCGAGCGGCACTAATCGAGTTTAACACCTAGCACGGTTTTGAAGTCCTGTGGTTGGTTGTTAGTGCTATTCCTTAGAATTGAGTCTGGATTAGCGGTCATCTTACCTCCAGGTTCTCGTTTACTCCATCACCGGTGTCGAATGTCAGCTTCGCGAGCGTTTGCTTCTTGGTCTGTAATGCAACAATGTTCTTCGGCTCTCGTTAGTAATGCCGCCGTCAGTGAAACTGGTGAGACATTGCATGTGTGGCTTACTTGTTCCACTGTTCCTTTCATGATGTACCTCGTCACGATGACATTTTTTGTTTGGCCCATGCGAACTGCCCGAGCGATGGCCTGTGCCTCGACTGAAGGATTCCAGTGCGGCTCAACCACGTGTACGTGACTCGCCGCTGTGAGATTGAGCCTTCGCAGATATTAGTAGTGTATCCAAGATGGACAAGACATGAAAGAGATGAGTTGTGGCTTACCCGACTGCCCCTGTACCCACAGACATGATAAGAACGGACGCTTGAGGGTCTTCTTGGAAGGTCTTTATGAGTCTTGTTCGTTCCGAGGTGCTTGTTTTTCCATGTACAAGAAGTGTAGAGACCCCTGCGTCTCTAAATATGTGGACGAGGCCGTATAGAGTGGGTATCCATCGAGAAAAGATGAGGCTAGTTTCTTGTCAGTTGGCAATGTCCAGGGGCAGTCGGGTTCCAATAGGCATCATGACACTTACTGCTTGGTGCCCGCTCCAGCTTCAAGTACTTGCTTTGTCACAGCTTTGAGCTTCGTTGAGAACAAATCTGTCTGCAACGAGCCATGGAGATCAATGGTATCTATGATGCCATCCCCTAGCAAGCATTTTGGGTTATTGTGACGGCTAATCGGGGAAGGGCTGTACCGTACCGTGATGAATCGGAAAGACTTTCTTTTTCGCGACCAAGCATGAACCGAACAGCTTGTTCTTGATGACTGTAAAAGTTAACAAAAAGGGCCCTCTAGGTGTTCTTTGTATCACAAAGATTGAGCGTGATAATAATGAAAGAGTCCCTACCCAGTCAATCTGGCCTGCAGACTGTTAGGATGTACAAGTGGAGCTACCTCGTCAGCAGAAACCACGTTCAAAGACTCAAGGATGCTGTCAACCTCTCCACGAATTCTCGCTCTGACCAAAGAGTTGTCGCTCACCCCGATCAGATGGTTGAGATCGATGTTATCCCCGGGTGCTACAAAGAACTGTGGGTTGCGGTATTTGATCCCCGATCTCAACGCTCTTGGATGTTGAAGAAATAAAGAGACTTTAAACAACCGCTTGGCGACTTCCTTCTCGACAACACTGTCTTGGGGCCCAAAGATATTGACCGAGATGTCCTCCAGCACGGGAGATTTCCTAGCAAAACCCCTTTTTCGTTTTGAGAGGGCTGCTGTACTAAACACAGCCTCAAATCGAATATAAGCTATTTGACGTAGCGCGGCCAACGTGTCCTGAGTGACTTGATCGACAATAGCAAATGCCGTCCCGTTCTCCGAAAACAGACAGAAGGGGCCTTGCCGTCTCTTCACAGGAAAGTAAACAAACAATGCGTCGTTCTGGCTGTCAATGATCTGGTCTTCGAGCGGGCCCAGCCCATTGATACATTGGGCCCTCACATCATCCAACTAAAAGCGTGATGTCAAATCAGTTCCAGGGCGTTGGTGGGTAAGCGCATATCGAGTCGAAGCCATGAGAAAAGCTTCGACAGAATGGGACCCAGAGAAACTTACCGCGCCATAGCAGATGCTGTCACCAATGTCGGTTTTACCGACGGAGTGGCTGACGTCGGCTTCCTCAATAGCACTTGAATAATGGCGTTTTGTACCGGAGGTCACAGATGTCATGATTGGCATACAACATGACGCTCAAGGGGGTTTGAAAAAGAGAGTTCGTCTCACTGCTTGATGAGCACAAAAACAGAAACCACAGCGATAACAAAAGAGACCGATAACACCACCCGGAGGGCAGACCAGACAGCTTGGTCAGAGGAAGACAAGAGAAGTTGGGGAAAATCAGTAGAAGAAACACTGAGGTTGGGGCTGGGTGCATCGCGGCTTTCTTTGGCAGGAAACGCTGTATAAGAGGCTGAACACTCCATACCGCCTAATGAGAAAGGGGGCACGATTAAGCCTATGGCGCATGGAGAGAGGAACCACACTTCATTCTCCTTCTTTGAGATTATGGTCGAGGATTTGGTGCGACTCTAGCTGGACGATTTGGTCGCCTTGCTTGGGGATGGCGATGGCGGCCTCTGGGGCAGTGCTGTACAACGTTGTCGAGACTCGAGACTCGCGATAGCTGCGCCCCAACTCTAGACCTTGGCAAGACAAAACACTCACTAAGTGTACCACGTCCGTTATTCACATCTCTGCGTTCAATGTCAGAATGGGTGCTATGGAAACGTCTTCTTGAGTCTTTTGAGCAGGCATGGAAGAAGTTGCCAAGAAGAAGCGTTGCGCTAGAGTTCGTCGTCGATTTGTACCAAAATGGTGGGCGTCGAGTGTTGCGATAACAGAAGAACGATGTTAGATGTGCAAAAAAAACCAATGGATAACGATTTGGATGCAGTCGTTGTTTGATTGCGTTGCTGCACTTCCTGGGGATCGGTGGCTCGGTGGCTTCTTGTGAAACGGGTCGGGTCGGGTAGGTACGGTCCTTCCCTCCGACTGTTAGTTAGGCTTACTGCCCCGCGGCACGTCCACGTCAACCTCTGCTGGCAAATGCGGGACACACTCCAGTTCCTGTTCCTTTGTGAGGGAACTTTATGAAATGCTACAACTTTCCAGAAATTCCTCAAGTCCCCTGATTATCTCAATCCGCTTCTCCGCCCAGATTGATCAACTTTTCGACGGTGCACCTACTCTCGCTCCAGCAATCGGCATGCAACGGTACCTTAGAAATGCCGCCACAATCAGAGAGCTTCAAGCGCGCCTTGGCCAGATTCCAAAGCGAGGTTGGACCAAAACGCGCCCAGGAATTTTCCAACTGTTCACTGCAAAATGTCCACTTGTTGATGAAGCAGATTCAAGACAAACAAGGCAAAAATCGGGAATTGCGCGCTTTCAAGCTTCTTGAATCCTTCCTTGAGGCCATGAAGGAGCTCGGCAAAGTCATTGAGGTCTTTACTAACACGACTGTGTTTCTGTGCTATGTCTGGGTGAGCATCATCATACCTGTTCGTGTATTGGTGTATTCCATCCTCATAGACTTACCTGTTACAGGGACCCATCAAGTTCGTGCTTATGGTGAGTACACTACTTACTTCTACCCCAATGTCCCTCACTACCTCATTTATGGAGAGTTTCAACTCATAGTCCTGTTCCTACCCATAGGCCGCCAGCACCCACCTTCAATCACTTGAAAGATTGCTGGATATGTACAGTGATATCGAAGAGAATCTCGCCGGCTTGCTGCATTATGAGGCAACATTCGAGCGCAACACACGCCTCGCATCTGTTCTCGAAGATTATTACTTGGACGTGCTTAATTTCCATAAGGAGGCCCTTGCTGTGTTTGACCGAAACCGAGTATGCCATTCTGTTATTCTTCCCCGCTTTGGGCCTCAAACCACTAACCCTTCGCGATTCTAGAATGGAAGGTGCTGGCCGATGCTGCCTGGAAAAGATTTGAATCGAAATTTGCTGTCATCCTGCAGGCCCTTACGAGACGTAAGGAGATCTTGAACAGCGAAAAGCTATCCGCTTCTCTTGACCAGATAATCAAGTTGCGAGCCGCGATCCGCGAAGTATACACCAGCCAAAAGCAGGTAGCAGATAAGCAAGAAGAAGAGACGCACAAAGAGCGGAAGAAAGCAATCATGGGGAGGTTGTCCATCCCAGACTACCAGTCTGACTACCGATTCTTCATTGATTGCAGAGACGACTCGAACGACACGCTGGGAACTTCTTCAGGAACGTGGATTTTCGATAATCCCATATTTCAGGCCTGGCATCTCGGTGATGCTTCTGGAAAACGAGTCCTCTACATACACGGAAGGCCAGGTGGAGGTATAATCTTCCCCGCGAATTTACACGCACCCCAAGTCTCGGGTCTCCCGCCCCAAAACGCGAACAGATAAAGGAGAATCATGCATTCAGCTGACATTTGACTCAGGGAAATCAACGCTCATGGCCACGGTAATAGAATGGCTTTCGAAGGACATGAGACCAGATGTTGCTCTCGCTTTCTTTTACTTTCGCCACCAAAACGCAGACAAAGACAATCTCAACAGTCTGCTCCGAGCGCTTCTTGGACAGCTCTACGATCGAGATCCCGTTCTAGCCGCCCACATTGAAATGGAGACATCGAAGCATGATGGACTTCGCTCGCAAGTATTACAGGAGCTCGTAAGCACCGCAGTAGGAACCTATGCTACAACTTACCTCGTCCTAGACGGGCTGGATGAATGTGCAAATGACGAGGAAGAGAAGGCGATCAAATGGCTGCTGGCGCTCTGCAAGCGTTCCCCTGGACTACGACTTCTTTTTTCGGGCCAGCGAGATGGCGTGCTAGACCATCTTCTCAGATCATCCAAGTCAGCGCATTCAATTCTCCTCGACACAACACCTGGCCATGTTGGAAATATCAAAGACTATTGCCAAAGCCTTGCAAGGGACATACAGACCGAATTTGAGAATGAGCTGGAACCATCGTTGGAGCAAAAGATAGTAGATCTAGTTTCTGGAAAAGCTGATGGTACGTCAAAGCCCCTTGACTGAGCAAAGCAATATCCAGAGTTTTGGGATAGACACTGATACATACCACAGGCATGTTTCTCTATGCAAAGCTAGTTCTCGAGCATCTTCTTGGCCTATCGTCTATCGCCGAACTAAAGCAAGAGTTGCAACCTGGGGTCTTTCCGGCGAGCTTAGAGGAAGCGTTAGTCAATCACTCCTTTCACATTAACATCACTTTCCTGATGACCAAGGGCAGTTCGCAAAAGATTTACCTAACATGCGTTATCTGTCAGATACGAAAAATTGGAACATCGCTTGCAGAAGGACTCCTCAAGGGCCAAAAGCAAGTGGAAAGCAGCGATCAGAATTTTGAGCTATGTGGTCTGTTGCAAGCGGACCCTCTTTTGGAGGGAAATCCAGTCTCTCTTCTCTATCGACAAGTTAACTGGAGAAGTAGACTACGATCGCCGTCCTGTCAAGAGCTACAAGCAGCTCTGTGGCTCTTTCCTGGACTCGCACACTGTCAACAAAGACTACACCGGCCCCGAGGACGAGGTCCACCTGGTACATGAAACAGCCCGCGAGTAAGTACTTGGTCTACTACCTACGATATGTTTCTTACTTCTCATTTCAACCCTAACAGCTCATTTTGCAGATTCTTAATACGGAGACAAATCGTGAACACCACGCGAGTGCACTTGGAACTCTCGATTTTTTGCTCCCAGTATCTTTTATCTCCACCCTTCGCGTCGGGGATTGCGGAGGATGATGTCATGTCATACGCTAGAAGGGGCTCATACGCCTTACAGGACTACGCAGCGCAGTACTGGCTCGACCATCTCCGGGAAAGCATCAAGGCTTCTGGCACGCTACAGAGCGCTGGTCGTCAAGAGGCCATACAATGGGCTTATCGCTTTCTCCAATCATACGGAGACCATGCAAAGATGTCGACTCTCGATGATGCCGGTGGGTTTCCAAGCGTGGATCAGGTGGCCGGCCGCATTCCGGAGCACGGTGGCGAGCGAAACAGTTACTTCAACATCGAAGAAAGAACTGAGGCCATCCGACAGGCTATCGGAAAGTTGGACGAACAGACACTCACCTCTAGGGAGACGAAGATTCTTAGTCAGCTTCAAGGGCCGCTGAACGTGCACAAATGTTCGAAACCGTGGTGCAAGTTCTTCAAGGGCAACCTGCAAACACCGGAAGTACGAGAAAAGCACATCAGTCACTACGAGCGTCTGTTTCGTTGTACGGTTGAAAGCTGTCCGATGTCCACCGTTGGGTATAGCTCCTCTGCCGAACTTCGAAAACATATTTCCAAGGACCACAAACAGAGTAGTAATCGGAATCGCTTCCCGAAACTTGCTACATTTGGCTTACTCGACGACGTGAACGAGAGTCCCGACGCTGTGGACGAGAGTCTCGACGACGTGGACAAGAATCCCGAATTCAGGGATCTCATGTCGGCATCAAGAAGAGGAGATACGAGTACTATAGACGACCTACTCGGGGCCCGAACAGCAAAGGAAGCGCGGCAAATGGTCAACAGAAAAGACAAATCAACGGGCGAAGCACCTCTCCTTATTGCCGCCGAAAATGGACATGCTCGGACGTGCAGAGCTCTCTTGGAATGGGGGGCGGATGCGCACTCCATGTCACTCATAGGGACTACACCGCTCCTCACAGCTGCGAAAGTCGTAGAGGAACAGACATCTTTTGACATCTGTTCTGCTCTGATCGAATATGGAGCACGCGTTGACGCAGATAACGCAAATAACGCTCATCGTGATACAGCTGTCCACCTTGCAGTTGCCCGTGGACATATTTCGACAGTCGACTTGCTTCTTGGTAAGTATCCGAAGGATGGCAGAGGACCTCACGTTAAAAACGACAGGGGAGAAACCCCAAGCTTCCTTGCCTGTCGTTACGGTCATATGACGATATTGGAGGCCCTTATTAAACATCAATATGGGGACCACCATGGTCGGCCCGCCCCGCCAGAATATCGACAATTAATCAACATCGCCTTTCTCAATGGCCATGACGAGATTGTCGAATATTTCATCAAACATTACGGTTCTGAAGCCCCTGGCGTCATTTTCATCTCAGGAGCATGCTGTTTAAGAAGGCTCCTGAGGGCAAGACCCGATCAGAAACAAACTCCGAAGAGTTCATGAGGGTCTTATCCACGGTAAATCCAGAAATAGGAGTGGACATCCTGGAGTTGGTTATCAAAAGTCGGGAATTCAGGCATCTTCTTAAAGAGTTGTTGGACTATCCCAAGTTGGAAATTAGCGCATCCGAATGGTATGACCTGGTTTCGAGAATCAAGGGCAAGGTGGTAGGTCTCGATGAAGAGACCAAGGATGCTATTGACGGATTTAAACCCAAGGAATAGAACGGCCATAGCACACCAATGGATCAAACCAAAGCAGAACTTGTCAAAAGAAGATCCTTTAGAACAACCTCGAAGACGGTCCTTCGTCATGTCTGTCATTCTGTCCTCTATCACTTACATAAACAAGACACACGAGGTTCAATTCAATGGGCAAGAGGAAAGTATCTATCCCTGAATACAGCCGATAGTGTCCCTAAAGGTGAGGTCACGACACAGCTACCTTTCGTTCAGAGGAAGTACAAGTCATAAAAAAACCTCAGTTGGTGAACCAGCGAAAGTGATGAAGTGACGTGGAAGGAAAGACTGTGGTACTCAAAACAAAGTTCACGGATCGACGGGGTGACCTTGCGAGCATTTAGAGCACAGCTCCACATGGCCACATCCACCATGCCAAAAAAACGCCAAGGAGTGGTGATGGCTTCATCTGTCAACTGCATGGAGAAACAGCAACCACTGCATCGCTGACAAGACAAACCAACGGAAAACGAGAATGCCGATGAGAGCAACAGGGCAAATACAATCATCACCACATGACCAAAAGAAAAAGGTACCTACGTCAGGCGCCAGCTATACATTCGTCCACCCGTTATGGTAAGCAGTGAATCCATGAACAACCCTCCAACATGGCAGGCACCATGACGGTCACGAAATAGCAAAAAGAACTACCCAGCAAGAAGCACCGAATCAAAGGAAACAAGGAAACCCAACAAAAGAACAAAAAAACAGCAAAAACAAAAACCAAAAAGACATACAACACCTGGGATTCGCTGGTCGTCACCGACCCAACTACTAGTCAGGCGATATGTCAGCTTATGTATGGGAGTCGGAAGGATATGAACCGGGTCTTTTAATCACGTGGTAGGGTCAAAAAACTGAACAACCACCTCCCATATCCATATCGTTCGGACGGAGGCATTACGGTGAGTGGGGAGGCGGCGCTAAAAAGATGAATATAATTGGGCGGATTACGAGAAAAGTTGACCGTCCTGACACGGCGGCTAGATCTTTTACACGGGTAACACCAAGATTGCACTCGGTCAGAAGACCATTCCTGATTGGTTCCTAGTACTCTTCGGCCTAGTTATGTGTATGTAGATGAGAGTGTGGTAAGGGAATTTCTCGCTCTTGTTTTGTTGGATCACGGTTTGGTGATCCACTACGACAAACTGATCACGATGGACCTCCTTTATGTACCTGCCTTAACCTACCTTCTTCATCTGCCTGCATTAGCCCACCTCTTCCCTTCCATCCTGGCATATTATAACCATGGTGGTTGGCTTGCAACATACTGCCGGCGCAGCCGCCAACACCTCTGTAGACGACGTTGAGAGCGACAAGCCAACCACAGCTCTAGGATCAGAAGCCGGCAGCCTCCAACTCCACTTAAAGTATGCACGTGCCCTATTTCACAAGCCCGACTTTGTACTTGTCTGCCTTGACTTAAGTGCACGCCTGAGGAACTAGGCAGACCAAGCCTGTCGTCTATTACACTCTAGCAATGTCAAGGAACGCTAATACTGCACGCGAAGCCCAAAGGCCACCACCCTACCTCACGTTACGGTGCAGTGTCCTGTCTACAAAGAAGGCCTCGCCGGTGTCATTGCTCCCACAGCCAAGTCGATCAAGCACGCCATCTCCACGTACGAGCTCCAGGGTGGTGCGGCAAACATGTTTATCAATGACGATGGTCTTCAACTGATCTCCAAGGAAGACCACCAGGAACGAATTGAGTTCTATGCAGACCACAGCATCGGTTGGGTTGCCCGCCCTAGACACGGCGAAAACGGCTTCCAGCGCCGTAGCAAGTTCAAGAAGGCACCCAACATGAACTTTACCCTCATGATTTCGTGCAAGATGGAAGAAAAGCTTAGCCAAATCCAGAAATCCCCGGAATGGTCCCAGAATGACGAAGCTCAAGCCTATAAGCGCGCCCTCCAAGAGGTTCTCGCGGAAGATGGCCGTGCCTGGACTGACGGCAATATTCGGATGGGCGACTACATTCTCTTGATTGACTCGGATACCCGTGTACCGGCCGACTGTTTGCTTGATACTGTCTCGGAGATGGAGCAGTCCCCCGACGTTAGTATCATGCAGTTGTTGGAAGTCCGTGCCCAGGTTGCCCAGTGAATGGCACTGGGCCGCCCATTCACCGGCACTCCCTTCCAGGTATTTAGGCTGCCCTGGTTTCCGTTTCTCCTCTTCCGTTAGACAACAACAATCAAGCCCTTTTTCGTTGTCGCCTTTTCCAGCCCACCGACAGCAGTTCTCATCGGGTATTATGCAGGTTGTCCACACGTATTTCGAGAACGGTATCACCTTCACCAATCTGATTTACAGCGCTATTCGGTATACCGTCTCCAACAGCGATGTTGCTCCCTTCGTTGGTTACAACGCCATTCTTCGTTGGTCTGCCATCCAGCAAGTCTCGTACGAGGATGAAGATGGCTACGAGAAGTTCTGGTCCGAGAGTCACGTGTCGGAGGATTTCGACATGGCTCTACGACTGCAGTGTAACGATTACATTATCCGTCTTGCCGCGTGAGAAATACTTCTAATGACGAAGTTGGACAATTGAACACGTGTAAGGGAAAAGCAGCCTCGACGCGCGTGCTTTGAAGTTATTTGTTCAAAGCCGTTTAGTATCCGTTGGTTCCCAGCACTGCAGGTAGAGCCACAAGTGACAAATAGGTAGTTAATAGAAACTGTAAAAATGGGCAAGGTAAACAGATGGTGAATTACCACTAACACTCTGTCCGTCGCACCGCCCGAGCCATCGGGATCTTCAGTACCAAGACAATCAACCCGCTGACGCGGGATTCTATCTTGTACATCCATCAGCCCAACCACTTACTCTCTCACACCTCCATATCCCCCGTCCTCCCTCTCCCCAGCGTCCCCATCCCCGTCCCCGTCCCCGTCCCCGACCTCCCGGTCTCCAGATGCAACCCACTCCAGGTCCTTCCGAGCCTCTGGCTCCTCTGGACTTCAAACCTCCTCGTCCTCACCAAATTCCACACAAACAACACCACTATGTACGTAAAAATCAGCACCATGGCACTAATCGGCCCCAAGATCGAAAACACCGCAAACCCATAACTCGCCCTCTTAAATGCCTCCTCTTCCCCAAGTGCGGTATCCAACCCGACCTGCATCCCCGACAGAACCACCACAATCCACGCCGTCCCGCCTATAACCCACGCGCTGATTTGCACGATAAACTGCCCGTACGAAGTCCATATAGCCATGAACCCCAGCGACAAAGGCCCCCGCGTGAACATGTAAATGAGGTTAAGTCGGTTCAGTCGTAATTCGCCGTAGATGAACCGAACGGCGATGTTCTTGTATATCGCGTCTGGCGAGGTGAGCAGCTCGTCCACGAAGAGACGCCATTGATCCCAGGTTACTTCGCGCGGGAGGAGGCCCTTGACGGTGGCGAGATCAAAGTCGCTCTCCCTTTGCACCAGACCAACATAACTGAACAAAATCCACGCGCTGCTTGTCGGCTTTCGCATCGTTTGCATATTCCCGCGTCATCCTTCTTTTGTGCTTTGTTGTTTGCTTCCCGGTCTCTTTCCCGTTCCCCATCACTCAGCGCCACCACTGCTCCTCGACAGCCCCCCTCGCCTTTACATGTCAACTCCCTTGTCCAAAACTCCCTCGTAAACAAAAACTTGCTGACAGGCTTCAGAAACACCCTGCCTCCTCCCCATACTAAGTGTTGCTCGAGCTTTTCAGTCATTATCGGCTCCCGATTCATAAGCACTTGTTGGTGCAAAGGGTGGGGCGGTACCGGACGCCCGGCTAGCCAGAGCAGATGGCGAATGGAGTGTAGCCGGGAGAGGTCGAATTCGCGGGCGATGAAAGAGGGCGAAGGGCCTTTGTAAAGCGATTCGAGGTCGTCGATTGTTTCATGAGGGCGGATGTTGCGGTGCGAGGCTGGGAAGAAGTGTGTGTAGGATGTTGAGGAGGGAGGGTTGGTAGTGGAATGGATGGTGGAGTGGGTGGTAAAGGAGAGGGGAAAGAGGCCTGTTTGGAAAGGAGTTGATGATACCTGATAGGATGGACTATTAGTGCTCGGCAAGGACATGGACGTCAAGTGGAAGTGAATGATGAGGATGGCAATTGGTAGGACGTACTGTTCTGTATGTCATTTGGATTTGAGATTTGGAACTGTCGGAGGATGTTATCCGGTTTGGACTTGATGGGGGGTTTTGGTCCATGTCCGGCTCAGGAGCTATCGCGTTTATGGTGACAATGATCGTGCTCGCGGCGTTGGTATTTCGTGCCGTTTCCCGTCTTCAGTCGGTGGTAGCTACGTCGATATAGTTGCACCAGAACTCCAACTGCGCGGCTGATGCTTTTATAAAAGTAAGAAAACACACAGATAGAGCGCAACACCAAAAGAAAAATAAAAATATATCCTTCAAACACCCTCCATTACCCGCGCAACAGGACCTCCAGCCCATTAAAGTTTAATTCATTGCCTAAAGCCCATCGCGCTATCATTTCAGCTGCAGCAGCGGATGCCCCATAGGGCACAACCAATCCTCCAAGTCTCAAATCGCTAACCTACCGGCGTTGTTGGTGGGCCAACCAAAAGTGTACCTAGCCGCCGAGCTAGTCTCGATGGTCGGATGCACTCAATCAAAGGCTCCAGCCTAGCACAGCACCAAATCCCTCATATCTAACCCCTCAGATCGAGATATCGACTTTTAACACCAAGCATTTGAGCCTCTGCCTACGAGAAGCGATCGGTATCAAACACTTCATCTGCGCTATCAAACATTTTATGTACGCTATTAAACACAAAGGCCAAAGCAATATCCACTTGGGAGTAACCCCGCTAACGTTTGTCAAAGGGCAATACGCAATATCCGCCGTACGGGTATACTAGTACCATTCTCAGTCGTGGCCGTACAAGCTCCTCTCCCGGTAGCCGAACCTTGATTACCATGGACGTTAAGGAAGGCATTTCTCTGGCGGTATGGACCACTGTCTTATGTCTTTTTGTCCGTGCGACCGCTAGTTGGCTTTGGTTCTATGCGCCAGCGGGTTCCGGTACCGCATCGTCGTCTCCAGCGAAGCCTGCTTCAGATTCTACACGATCCACGCAGCGAGGCGTCCATCTCAATCAAGTCAACAAGGACAATGGAGACACCGACATTGACATTATTGCTATCCATGGCCTCGATACAAAATCACCGGATACATGGACATGGCGGGATCACAAGGATCCCAACGTCAGCGTTAATTGGCTAGCCGAACTGCTCCCTAAGGAAGTGGGAAAGGCGCGTATCTTCACATGCGACTGGCCTGCCGACCTACTTCAACCATCAGAATTAGTCCTGAAGACTGATGACGAGATCGTTACGCTCCTAATTGATGGCATCAACAGAGAACTCTTGGCAAAGTTGCTCATAGACCGGAGGAAGTTGTCGGCTCTTTCCCGGTCGTCGAAGAGTCCCTCTGCATGGCGAGGTGGCTTGGGAGGTCGTGGCGGTCCTATATATCCGGCACCTGCGGCACTGTAGGCTGGGAAGGTCGCGGTATTGGTTCCAAAGGCCCCGGCGCGAGTAGCTTCGTACTGGGCTTCCGCTTGCCCAGCTTGCCACTGAGCTTGAGCGCGTTGGACGGTTTCGTTGCCCATAGACCGTGGGGCCGAAGGATGTTCGTGTTGAGAGAATTGGGACACCGTGGCTTTACTGGATAGGGCAGCGGTGGCGACCCGTTTCCCGATAGCTTTCATGATGGAGGCCGCGTCAGGGATTTGCCTGTGTCGGAGGTAGTGTTCGACGGCTTCTTGGGCCGCATCCCTGGTGTACTGTTGGAAGTCTCTGACCTGATCTTCGAGGCCTTCGACTTGTTCATGGTGGACGAATTTGGTGAGCATGTCGTTGATCTGGGATGCCCAAGTGTCAATGCGTCCTAAGACTGACTGCCGACGGGCGCCTCTTTCGTCGAGGGTCTCAAGGGCTCGTTGATGTGTTACGATCCAATCAAAAACCCCTTATGTAAGCTAGATAGATTGACCAATAAAAGGCAACCCGAACCCAGGGTCCCGGAGTTCCGAGAATACGGGACTACGGGACCAGGTCATGTGGGGTGTCCCGGAGTCCCGAGATCGCGGGACTACGGGACGGGTTCGAAGAACAGTATATAAGAAGGCCGCTTCCCGGCCTTCATTATTCTGGTTCTTCAGCAAGCAATAGCTTTCACAATCAACCAGTACATTTTGGCTACTACTACCGTTATTCTTGTTCCCAGCGATATACTCCTGTGCTTCTAACGGTTCGTCACATGATGGCGTATGGAGATTCCTGGAGGTGGTCGATGGCCTTCTGTCGTTCAGCGTCCTGCTTGCCGTACTTGGCAATAGCGGCCCAAACTTTGGACGCGAATCTGGCACTAGCCTGCTGGACCTGCTGTTCGAACTGGGCAACCTGGTCCTGGGAGGCTTGAAGGCCTCTTTTGAACATGCTGGTGACGAAGTCGTAGTCGTCTCTCAGGGCCTCGTATTGTTCCTTGAGGGTTGTGAGTTCTAGAGAGAATTATATATAGTGATTTGCGTGTACGGTTTTCAGCTCCTCCCTATTTTGCCCATTTCAACCAAAATGCCGATTGGAGCAGCATACAAATAGCCAAGTCATTCAAAAAATGGGGCCGGGTTTTGACGTCTAATGCCCACGGGCGAAGTATTTGATACCTAGGTACACATAGAATATACGTCTTGCTTTCTCTATTTCCATCCAAGAAACCTATCTTAGATATTAGAAACGGCGCTATATCCAATCTATTACTTTTACGATCGCTTTTTGTATGGATTACCCACCGCCCAGCTGCTAGCATGTCCGAAAAGGGAAACATTTTGGCCGTTTGCGGCATCTGATTGGTTCAACGATGTGCGCTTGGCATGTGACCACTCAAGGGTCGCCTGGCATCCTGGCATCCCAAGAGTTTACTGGAAAGGATTCACAAAGGATCGAAAGTATTATGATTTGTAAATGTAAATGATGATGTATCGAAGGAGGGCAGCAAGGTAAAGATTGCCAAGGTACCTTCATCGTTTGGCCAAACGATACAACCAAATAAGAAACCGAGCAGCAAGGGAGTTACCAGATATAACGACGACAAGGCAGGGTGGAGCTGTTGTCTTCTGACAAAAAAGAGAGAAAGAAATATCAGACATATAACATCGTTCCTGATCCCAACCTTCTTCCCCAAAGCAAGCTGATCATCTGATTTTTGCTAGACGGCCTAATTAACGTGATTCTGAGTACTACCAGACATCTTCAGAAAACGTCGTTTTGACATCCTCAGAGACCGCACCCGGACTTCCTATTGTCGAGATTGAGGTTCGATAGTGCCTTATCCGTCTCTTCGATATCCCCGATGAGTTCGTTCTCGCTGCTTAACCTCTCCAGCTCCTCCTGGAGAAGCGCGATGAGGCGTCCAGATGCCCTGTTCATTGCCCTGTTCAGGATCTAGAGGAAATCAGTGTTAGACGGGTGTGACTGTCATGGACTTTCAACTGCTTATTCGGGGACGCATGTTCCTACCTCACCAAAATCGCACCCATCACCTGGTGCCGACTGTATCTCTCCTTGGATTTCCTTGCCATCCGTCTGTGACGAACCGTTACAAGCACAGGAGTATATTGCTGGGAAATAAGAACAACGGTAGTAGTAGCCGAAAGGTACTGGTCGATTGTATAAGCTGTTGCTTGCTGAAGAGCCAGTATCTAAAGAGGCCTGAGAAGGCCGTCTTTATATACCGGCCTTTATGGACCCGAGTATATTGGACCCGAGGACCCGAACACTTCGGGTCTTCCTCCTGAGGACCCGACGTTCACGGACCCGAGGACCCGAACACTTCGGGTCCTACCTGATTGGTCCGTTGGTTCTACCTAGTCTGGCTTACATAAGTGATCCTTGATTGGATCGTAACACCGTCATGTCCAGCGAACGCAGATCCGGCGGAGGCCGAGAATTCATCATCTGAGGGGTGACCAACTTGGACGTGCTAACTTCGAACTTGGCGTGGGATCCTAGGTAGGGGCGTTGGAAGTGGGTGGCAGGTACGAAAGACGGCTCGAGCGAGGCTTCCGTTGGGTAATTAAGCAGGTTAGGAGTCTTCTCTCTTAACATGGAACACATCTCGCCACCCATTGTTGATAGGGTGAGGTACCGATTGGCGCCAAATTCAGTTGTCCGTTGACAATAGAAGCGAAATGAAAAGGTCGAGGATATGGTTTGGGAGAAAACGGTGATATGTGAAGAAGATATGTGTGAGAAGATGTTCTCAAATACGATACTAAGTGCTTCACAGAACTTGATGATGGTTGAAGTGCTTCGCAAAACTTGATGATGGCAGGAGTGGTTATCAATGGGTATATATTCCATGGAAAAACAGACGGCCAACAACACATCCTGGTTTCACCGATTTCCGCCTAAATCGGACTTAGGGCCTGGAGGGGTCGTCGAGCGTCGAATGCCCTTGATGCCTTCGGTACCCCGGCGAAGTGGTGACGTTACACGATCCCTGGCCGCAGCAACAGCCTCTCCCAAACGGGTACCAAGTCTCTGAGCGGAAGCCTAAGATGGTGATACTCCACAAGATAATGACTTGATTGCATTATTCCTCCTGGCTTACTCCCAATGCAAATTCTCAAACACGGCGCCGCATTGCTGGGTTCGGCTACGTGACGTCTCGTCGCGCAGGTTCCACCAAAGGAGCCTCTAGAGGAAATCCGGACCTATGCCGCACCGCCACTACTGCCAAGCAACAGGCTTCATGCAGGCTCCATGCGGGATTCGTGCCAGGCTTCGTGCCGGGCGTGGTGCTGGGCTTTATGCTAGGCTTAAATCCACGCTAAACCGCATGTCGGAGCGGTGCGGTGGGATAAACGCCGCCGCTGAGTGGGTAGATTAGACCGTCCCATTCAGGCACCAGGATGTGGGGCAGCTCTGGCTGAGAGCTGCATACGGGGGAGCTGGTTAGGGCTGCGAAACAGGGAGATGCCTGCAGAGTGGGCGGCGTTCGACGAGCCAACCACAGCTCTAAGGATCCGAAGCCGGCAGCCTGCAACTCCACTTAGAGTATGCACGTGCCCGACTTTTCACTTGTCTGCCTTGACCTACCTCCTTCATCTTCCTGCCGTAACCTGCCTGCATTAGCCTGCCTCCTTCATCTGCCTGCCTTGCCCTACTTCATTGGTCCGACTATTCGTCGCTCGGTAAAATCTAATGCCCGCCAATGAACGTTCTAGCCCAAACGCTAAACCCCGCCAGTAAACGCCTGCAGCTTTGTAAACAGGTCAACCCGAATGCTCATTGCGAGGTAGATTCCCCTGTGATTTGCAGGTTCCACTCGGATTTGCAGCTTTACCTGCGCCCCGCTCCCATAAGTGTGCAAGCTACCAGGCCGCTGCTGGTACACTATTGCCAACCCTGTAGACGCCCTGAAGCCTCCGGGTCCATGAATGCCTGGCCTCTAAAAAGAAACGTCCTTTGGGTGATTGGCGTGTAGTTGGGAGAGAGCCGCCAGCCATCTCGCGCCTGACAAGGTGACAACACAGAAAGCCCCATGGTCCATCACAGCCTCGAGAAAACATAGGGCTCTAGTTTCTTTTCCTTTTTTTGTCCCAGATGGCAGGAGAATAATTCCCGGCACTTCCATAAACTCGATCCATTGATCATCAAACATAGCATCCGCTACCTTCAAGACAAAACGCTGACACAAAACGATCATCCTCGAGTGCCTCACTATGTCACCTCAGTCAAGACGTTCCTTCCTCAAAGCTACGATGCATCGACGATTACCCTCGTGGTTCCAGACGCGTTTCAAGCGACACGGAAATGCGGAGGATAGGAAAGGTTCTAAAGACCAAGAGCAGTCTCGCCCTGCACCTTTGCTCGAGTTGCCGACGTCTACACAGCACATCCCCGCCACTCCCTCTACGTCCTCCCTCCCCTTCACGGCCGCTCTAGCTACCGGTTCTACCGACGTAGAGACATCCGCCTCACGGCTTCGAGTCGCTCCGGCTACCGGTTCCATCAATATAAAGACGTCCACCCCACGACCCCCAGCCGCTCCGGCTACCAATCCCACCAACACAGAGACGTCCGCCAGCGCAGATGACACTACTACCAGCTTACCCGTACAACTCTGGGACCGTGCCTACAATGAACTCAAAAAAGAAGAGGCCGAATTGGTGGACGCATATGAGAAGATGCTGTCCCGACAGCTACAAAATGGCTCCAACTCAATGGTGCTCGAGTCTCAGCCGAACATCATCGCCCAAAACAACTCGGACAGGCGCCGCCAAATGACTCAGCTTATCAATGCCGGCCTAGCCAAGACTGAGAGAGAGGCCAAAGTGAAAGAGAGCTGTGGCGAAGTCGTGAACGTTGTTCTATCTGTTAAGAACATTATAAGTGCGGCAATCCAGACCGTGCCCCAAGCCGCGCTCGCTTGGACCGGCATTTGTATCGCTTTAGAGGTACGTTTATCTGGAGGATAATATTTCTCATGCTAACTTTTGCAGATGCTTGCCAATCCTGTAAAAGCGACCGAAGCCAACTGCAAAGGGATCGACTACGTTGTTAAGAGCATGGACTGGTATTGGAATTTGTCGACTAGCCTTCTCAGGGATCCCACCAACAACATCAGCGAACTCGATGGAATGAGAGGCGAATTGGAGATCCAAATTGTTGGCCTCTATAAAACACTCCTCTCTTACCAGATTAAGAGTGTTTGTGCTTATTATCGCAACCGCGGCTTAGTCTTTCTTCGAGATATGATCATGCTTGACGACTGGAAAGCTGATTTGGGAGCTATCCAAGATGCCGAGAACTGCTTCCGAAACAACGCCCAAACATACACCAATCAGCAAGTGACGTCTCGTCTCGAGCAGCTCGTTAGCTATACAAGGCACCAAGAAATACAACAAATGTCAGAGAAGGACCAGCAATGCCTGAAGCACTTGCGCCTTACCGATCCTCGCGATGATAAAGTCCGCATCGAACGGACCAAAGGCGGCCTTTTGCAGGACTCATATCGTTGGGTCCTCAATAACGCTGACTTTCAACAATGGCGTGACGACCCACAGCACCGACTGCTCTGGATCAAGGGCGACCCCGGTAAAGGGAAGACTATGTTGCTGTGCGGCATCATCAATGAGCTGGATCAAGGCAATACTGCCAACGCGCGCCACTGCAATGTGGCCTACTTCTTCTGCCAAGCTACCGACTCTCGCATCAACAATGCAACTGCCGTACTGCGCGGCCTAATCTATCTACTTATCGACCAGCAGCCATCTATCCTCTCACACGTGCGGAGTGAGTACGACCGTGCAGGCGAAGGCCTCTTCAAAGATGCAAATACGTGGGACGCCCTGTCAAGAATCTTCACCAACATCCTACGAGACCCAAGCCTCCGAACGACCTACCTAGTCATTGACGCGCTTGACGAGTGCGTTACAACAGACCTGCCACAGCTTCTCGACTTTATTGCTCAGCAATCATCATCTGGATCTCGAGTCAAGTGGATCGTCTCAAGCCGTAATTGGCCGCAAATTGAGGAACGGTTGGAGAAAGCCGCAGATAAAGTAAAGGTCTCCCTAGAGCTAAATGCGGAATCCGTCGCAGCGGCTGTCAATGCATTTATCCTGCACAAGGTGGATGACCTAGCAGGGCTGAAGAAGTATGATCCAAGGACAAAAAAGACCGTTCAGGACTACCTGTGCTCCAACGCGCAAGATACGTTCCTCTGGGTGGCGTTAGTCTACCAAGCGCTTACAGACCTAGAGGTCGAGGAATGGCATATCGAAGAGATCCTACACACGTTTCCACCCGGGCTGGATGCTCTATACGCGCGGATGAAACAACACATAAGCCTATCCCGGGATTCCGATCTTTGCAAAGTCATTCTTGCCATTACCGCAATTGTTCACCAACCAATCAGTCTTCATGAATTAGCCACTCTCGTCAAGCTACCTAATATTATTCGCAACAATCCTAAATCCCTGGAAGCGATCATAGGGCGTTGCGGTTCATTTCTAACGCTACGAGAACGAACTATTTATTTTGTCCATCAATCAGCCAAGGACTTTCTATTGGGCAATGCTTCTGATAAAGCTAGTAACCAAGCTTCTCAGGAGAACTGGATCTTTCCTGAAGGGAAAGAAGATGTGCACCATATTATCTTCTTGAGGTCACTTAATACCATGTCTATAGTATTGCGACGCGATATATACGGCTTAAGCGCACCGGGATTTCCGAGCGACAAGGTCCAAGTACCGGATCCGGACCCGTTAGCGACGGTGCGGTACTCGTGCGTCTACTGGGTTGATCACTTGTGTGACTCGGTTTCCGGCACGAACACAAAACGGGATGATCTTTTACGGGATGACGGGGTTGTCTATACATTCCTTAAGACGAAGTACCTTTACTGGCTAGAAGCTCTAAGTCTACTCCAAGCTATGCCTGCGGGCGTTGTTGCTATTAGAAAGCTCGAGGGCCTGCTAGTAAGTATAAGTCTAACTCCGCACTAGGAACTTAGTCTAACTAAAGATATAGGGAGGTAATGATCAGTCGCAGTTATCAAAGCTTGTTTGGGATGCTTACCGGTTTGCTCTGTCTTATAAGTCAATAATAGAGCAAGCTCCACTTCAAGCATACATATCAGCGCTTGTATTTGCTCCAAGCGGTAGCTTGATAAAGAGGAATTTCAGGGCAGAAGAACCTGAATGGATTCGAAGTAAGCCGGCTGTAGAATTGGATTGGAATGCATGCCTCCAAACCTTGGAAGGCCATAGCGGGGCCGTTCGCTCAGTGGCATTCTCGCCTGATGGCCAGCGGCTTGCGTCCGGTTCGGGGGATGATACGATCAAGATCTGGGATCCGGCGTCGGGGAGCTGCCTCCAGACCCTAGAAGGCCATAGCGAGACCGTTCTCTCAGTGGCATTCTCGCCTGATGGCCAGCGGCTTGCGTCCGGTTCGGGGGATGATACGATCAAGATCTGGGATCCGGCGTCGGGGAGCTGCCTCCAGACCCTAGAAGGCCATAGTGAGACCGTTGTCTCAGTGGCATTCTCGCCTGATGGCCAGCGGCTTGCGTCCGGTTCGGAGGATAACACGATCAAGATCTGGAATCCGGCGTCGGGGAG